ACGTGTAACATATTTTGTCCTAATCGTTAACTCAGTTGTAACCTTTTTGCCACAATACATTGTCATAGTGCTGTATGACCTTTGAGGTCTGGCTCATATATTTGTTTTGACCATTAACCATTCTGGAAATCCATAAACATCGCCTTATTAACCAAAAAACTTCCTTACATGAGGGTTTCACCCCCAAGCCTCACCCTATTGCTATATTTTGAATTTTCTGCTAATGACCTTAGATGTTGACACGGCAGAAAATATTCAATAAAGATATTAATATTTCCGGTGTATGACATGATCCAATGATAATTGTTATATATGTTGGAAAGAAATGTACAGGAAGGGATGGTAGGGTTGATGGCATAAGGAGATGCATTGATAGTTATTGTATTGCAACCTTCATAACTTTCCTATGTAACAGAGTAGGAGAAAAGGGGATTGTTGAGCAGAGTATTACCATGTAAAGGTTATTATATATTTTCTTCTGTTATCTTACTTAATCAGTCTCCCTTTTTTTTTAACAGAATCTGCAGTTGGAATTCTCACAGATTGTTGGTTTTGGAGATAAGCCCCCACCTCCTGCATCCAAAGAATTTGTTGAGAGCCTTGAGACAATTATTGTGAAGAAGAATGGTAAGATAGCCCCTTCTTAGTTCACTCTTGTACAATATCTACAAAGTAAATGATTCCTATATTTAAAAATGTCTTATGCAGTAGAGCAGAAGTCTTCACAAAGAGATGTCCCTGTATAGTCAGACGTACATTATATCCCATTAAGGACTTGTCCAGGGCAGTCAAAACATGTTATCATTCACAAGCACACTGTAGATACAATTTCAGGAAGACGGTTGTACCATCTGATTAATGTATTTTTACCTAAAACATTACATAAACTGTCTTACAGGTGGCCAGTGCCCAGTGTGTCTCAAAGAATGGTCTGAAGGGGATGAGCAGAAGCAGCTGCCTTGTCAACACAAATTCCATCCCACCTGTATCTTACCATGGCTGGAGAAAGTCAGTGATGAAATTAATTTAGGTTCTAGTTATAAGTCACTGTTTTGTTGGGACTATATATTAATATTTCACTCATCATCTTTTAACACAAACTAATATGATTTCTCACGTTTTGGCAGACCAACTCATGTCCAATGTGCCGTCATGAGGTTCCTACAGATGATGAGGACTATGAGGAATACCGAAGGCAGAAGGTATGGTACAAGATGTTGAGATACAGTATCCTTTCTTCAAGTATAGTTAACTATTTTATGTTGATTATTTGTTGCTGATGCTATATAAGATCTTTACTCTTTTGTTTTGATAGTTTCTTCATTCATGAATATTTGATGTAATACTGAGTAATATTTTTATTGTGGAGGACTATTTCTTTTAGTGGTGATTTTTTGTTTATCATATTTTGTTAGCATTAATCTTTTATTACTGTATTAGAAACAAGTGAGGTGTTTGTTTTCTTTATTGATATCAATATTAATATATCATAATGTTGATATTGATATTAATTTTTTGACTATTAATTTCTTCAATGCTAGTTTTAGACAACTTTTGGTGTATAATTATGAAGAGGATGATGTTGATTGTCATCATTATCATTATTGTTAGTTTTCTTTCATTGACAATATAGTAATGTACAGTAATATTTAAGATTTTGTGATTACTTGTTGCTGAATACAAATAGAAAACTGTTAAATGTAAGTAAATAAACAAAGGAAAAAAAAATTTGTACTGGAGATAGCAGTCTCCACACAGAATTGCATGAATGAAAGAAAGAAACATGAAAAGTTTTTTATCTTCGTTCTTTATATAAGGATAATGAGAAGATTATTAGGAGTTAGTTTCTTTTCACACGTTGCTTAATGGCTCATACCTATCGTGTGCTGAGCCAACTCACTTTTCCATGTGTGATATTCACTTCTTTTTCAAAAGAAAGTTCACCTATGCCCATGTCACCTGTGTGTAATTTGACTCCATACCTGGTATTCAGTTATGCCTTCAAAAATCATATCAGGAATTTACGCATTGAAAAATGTTTATGGTAAACAATTGTATCGCCAGTTATCAGCACAAAGGATGAGGCTGTTACAGTACAGCGCATCCCATTTTCATTGACACCATCTGTTTAGTAGAGGTGTAGTAAACTTGTGTCAGATTCTATTTGTAGGGATATTATGTCACCAAGTTTAAAATATAATTAAGTAAGGTATTAGTTGGTAAGGGCAGTCAAATAAAAAATCACCAAATACAAAATTGCAAAATGTGAAATCACTAAATGTCAACGTGCCAAATATGAGGCTTTACTGTACAAATGTTTGCAGTTCCCATTTTTCACTTCTAAGAAACTGAATTATTAAATCTATTGTTTTTCCTTTACAGAAGAGAGCCAGGGACAGGGAGGCAGAACTAGAAATACTTCATGACTCAATGTTTTCTTGAAGTGTTTTATGAATAAATGTAAAAAGATTTTAAAAAATGATAATTGATATGACTTTATAAAGGGATTTGAATGTCTTCATTGTTATTTTAAAATAGTAACTAATTTACTGTTAAATTTCTTTTATCTTTACTTCCTTTAGTATATGCATCCACTTGTGCCCTTTTCTTTTTTTATACATCCCCATCAAGTAGATTATTATTATTATTTTATTTTATTATAAGTAAATTTACCTATGAAATGTAGTAATTTTCATATGTTGGTAAACAGGTAAGAAAAAAATCATTTTGGAAGATATAACTATGAAACTGATAACTGATACTTAATAAATTATTTCAAATCTTGATTCCGCATTTTGGATTACCCCATTATCTTGGGGAGAAGGGGAAAGAAAGGAACGGAAAAGAATGATACAACTTCAACCAAACCTAACATTTATTAACATATTGATTTAATTCATGACATTTACATCCTGAGACTAGAATTCTAGCTTTTCATTTCAATTATCAAATTGTAGCACCATCAGGATATCTTCTACTGAGTGGCAGTAATATATTACAACACAGCCAAAGCTTGCAACATTCTTCTTATGCAATGTACAATACCATCACCAGCAGTTCTATCAACAAGAGAATAACACTTGGTGTCATTGTTTAGTAAACTTTACAAATAAATTCTGTACAGATTTTACCTGAGAAGACATGGAACTACTGGTTCTTCATCATAACCTTTTCCTTGGTGAGGGAGACTCTGTCCTCGGCAAAAGACTCAATGAGATGTATGAGATTTCCTGGAAGAACCCAACTATGAAGGAAGGCAAGTGAGAGGAGCCTTAAATTAACTTGGGAGGGGGGCTTGGGTTAGCTGAAGAAGAAAGTACTGCGCAGGACGTTTGATATGTCAAAATCTCCCTTGGGTGGCACTTTGCCTAATAGATTGTTGAGCCGCATCTTGGAGGAGTCTGAAGCTGACCCATCATGTGCAAAATCCCTGTTGGAGAAGGGGACATAGGTTTGTTAGTTCATCCAAAAAAGATTGAGAAATACAAGCATATGCATGCAGGCAGGCATGACCAAGTACAACATCTATTAAAAAATATGAGAATATTCCTTCAATTGAGAAATGAAATACTATTCCAATAACATTCTCTAGTTTTCAATGACATCCCCCCCTCTTTAATTTCAAAATAATCTAAGGAAAGTGCAAGATATTTTTTACCCCCAGATAAACATTCTTTATTTTGACATTACCTGCGATCATAACCAAATTTCTCTTGGAGGAATAATGATAAGTCTTCCAGGATAGGCTCACTGTGTAGGGCTACAAACTGGTTGCGACACACCTGTAATTAGGAATAACAAAATGAATAATAAAGAATGGTGTGGGTAGGAGGTAAGGTGAGTGAAGTAGGTTATAAAAAGAACATCTGGAAAGGGAGAGAAAAAAAGAGAGAAAGAAAGAAAGAAAAAAAGAAGTCATCCCTAGAACAACCGCAAAAATCCAATTCTAAAAGAGGGACAGAGACTTAAAAGAAAAAAAAAAAGAAAAAAAGAAAAAGAAAAAAAGCAATTCCTTTCCTTCCATGATGAGAAATTGAAAGAAAAAAAAGAAAGATATGCTGGATTAAGAACTAACAAAATCTCAACCCCTTGAGGCAATGCTTAATAGTATATACAGAAATTCATTAAAAATGTTCAAATAATAATACCAAAATACAATAAAGCCAACCTATCACATACCTTGTTCATGATGTCCACTGTGTTGGCATGTGTCCAAAAACAGTCATGAACTGAGACAAAGGTGATACCTGCTTGTTGGCAGAAAAGTGAGGTAAGCATCATGTGTGATGAGTCAAGAGAATGGATGAAGTTAGGTGGGAAAGCATTCTTCTGCTTCATTACGTTTGGACGCCTGAAAGAGGTGAAGATCTGTGTTAATATTTCTCTTGCCACTCTTGTGGATTGGGTAGTGTTATACATGTCCTCTTTGAGAATATTGAAAAATTTCAGGTCTTTTTAACCAGTCAAGTTTTGATTATTATCTTTTATCAACCTAACATTTATCCTAAAGTTTATAAAAGAAAATAGTAAAAAAAAGGAAAAAAGAAAATGGGTTCAAAAAGGGTGCTACATGGCTTATAAATCAGACAAATAGCTTTGTCATAGGCCTTGACACAGGAATTTGGAATGGACCATGTGATTTTCTAATTCCCATAAGTCAATTCTATTGCTCATGACCTTTGCTCAATATACGGATCACCTCCTAAATGAAAAAACAGGGAAGTCTACAGGACAAACTCACATAAATGAATCCATGCTATAGGATGATGGTAACTTTTCCATACAGATTTTATTCCCCGATGTCTTGCTGTATGGCTGCACCACGGGGAAGCCCAAAGGTGTTACCCACTCTATGTTCTCACTCCGTGTCTGTGTGAGAAGAGAACAGAACTGTTTAGCAGGCATTACTGGATATAATGCAGCGTCCATAAACAATGAGTTTCCATCCCTTATCTATTTTTCCAGCAATATTTTGTTTGGTAACAACTGCAACAACTGATTTTCATATATTCTTTTCACAAGTCGTATGGATGACTGCACATGGTGGATTCAAGAAATTACAACATAATGGACAATTTTGTCTTAAAATTCTAAACGTAATTCATATATCACTGAAGCTAGTGCTTTGCAGGATGGTATATTTATTATCAGTCAGAAATTACCATTTGTATCATCTGCATTCAATTTGTTAACAAAAGCTACATACCATGATTTGCATGGCCAGGCAAAAGACTTGGAATTGTAGCATTTTGTTGGCAATTTTAGCACAGATAATAATTAATAAAAACAACAATAATAATAATAATAATAACAGCAATAATGATAATGGTAATAATAATAATTGTAATAATAATAATAGCAGTAATAATATAAATAATAATAAGCAATAATAATAATATAGCAATAATAATAATAATAATAATAATAATAATAATAATAATAATAATAATTTTCAATGGTAAAACATTCCTAATGACCATCCTTGGCCAATTTTTTTATAACAAGACATCCTTGTCACCAGGATGAAATGGCAGGGGTAAAAAAAGAAAGAAAGAAAAGAAAAAGAAAAGAAAAAGAAAAAAAAAAAAAAAGGAAGAAAAAAAAAGAAAAAAGAAAAAGGAAGAAGAAGAAGAAGAAGAAGAAAAAACAGCAAAAAAAAATAAGTTGCTTACAACCTAGAAAACAATATACACCAAATCACCTGTGCAATAACACGTGCACACTCGGTGAACCAATCCTGGATCTCCTTGGTGGCAGTAAACATTTTCTCGAGGCTGTGGAATGTCTTGTGTACCAGATACTGTGAAGCTGCCCAGCGCTGGTCCATGGGAAAGTCATCCAAGGCTGCAATGGGAGGAAATAATAGAAGTCTGATGTCTTCTTCTTATTTGTACAGGCTTAAGGAGTTGGGAAAGAAATGTAATCCTGAAGGGAAGGAAGAGAAGGGAGGATGGAAATGATGATGGCCTCATACGCAAAGCTTCAACAGAAACAATAAAAAATAACATGCTAATCCCAGAAATATGTTAAAGCAGATTTCTGAGAAAATGATATATTTCTTTGGAGTATTCATTCTTAACAGATGACAAATAGGTTTGATGGGTAGCACAACAAAAGCAGATTATGCATTAAAGTAAACATGTTTATCTTCAATAGAATTGAATTATACTATGTAGATTCAGAAACTAAAAGGCATCATGCTACCAAACAGGCTTTAAACTAAGAATTTTTATTGTATAAAAATATTGTGACAGTGTCTACTTGTGTTCCTGTTTGAAGCCTTTTTATATTCCCTGGAAGGAAAATCTAAATATCTATCTGTAAAATATGCTAACTACACCATAGAAAATACCCTAATACTGTAATAGACACTTCGCCACCTAAAATATAACTTTTTTTCAATTATATTTGGCAACTCATCCTATTCATATTGCTGGATTTTTAGTAACTTGGAAATTACTTACAAGGACACACAACCCATACATTTATATATCAAGACATTCATTTTACTACAATCTTGAGATTCTACTCCTATGAGACTGGAAGAGAGAATAAATACCGAGTTCTAATGACAGACTGAAAAAAATGCATATATTATATGTACCATGGGAATCCATACAGTTTCACTTGACCCCAAGAATAGTGGCAACTGGAATAGGGGTAAGTGGTAAGGAAATAACCAGTGCAGCACATAACAATGAAATTTTCAGCTGTTGTTATTGTGAAGGAAGTTAGAGAAGGAATGATGAGTATAGTGATAGTAGAGAAATGAAGAGCATGGTGATATAAATTTGTACAAAAATGGAAAAATAAAATATGGAATTAGTCCTAGCATGAAACATCCACATACCTTTCAACTGTTTCTCAATCTGCAGTCTAGCACCATATCGAGTCACCCCATATACAGTTGTCATGACAGTCTGTTTGATGACTTTCCGTCTCACAAAACCTTCCAGGACTTTGGCTATCTCCTTCCCCATTTCTGCATCCTTCTTCCTTTCTTCCTCCACAAGCACTGCCACAGCTGAGTAGACATCCTGCAGCAGGAGATATGAGGTAATTTAGGTTGAATTCTTGTGAGATCAGTAAATGCACAAAAGTTAAGCTAAAAAGAACAATATTATCATCATTCTTCATTCAACTTAACCTGACCAATCCCATCTCTTTCCAGAGGGTAAAACTGGTGAAATAGTCCTTACTATCAGAAACGTTTTATTGATACTTTTTTCCACAAACATTTTATAGATACCTTTTTCCCAAAATGTTTTAAATGTACTTTTTCCCCCCCAAAAAAAATTTGGGTTCAGGCTTTGAATATTTCATAATAATGAGCAAGAAATGTCTCTCCACTTTCAGAAGTACTTTCTGAAAATGAACCCCTCAGGAAACCCTTACCTGTGGAGTATGGCTCGAGGCCAAGTTGACAGAAACAGCACCCACTTCATCTCGTCCAAGCGCTGCATAGTGTTGCAGGCCATTGCAGGAGCCATCCTGATGAAT